TGCCTACAGGGGACCAGGTGGCATCTATGTTAGGATTCTTGGATCAGGGGAACCTTCTGCACACACCTTTCATTGTCAAAGCCTGTCAAAGCTTTCAGGAGTTGAGCCTACCATCTGTACAGCGAGTTCCAACACCACTGGTGTCTGCTATTCCACCTCATGTAAATCTTTCCTCCAGCATCTGCGTGGATTTGCTGAATTCTGCCGTCAACTCAATGCCACCCCAATTTACTCAAAATTGCTTTCAGGACTTCTGCAAGCAGTATTATCCTCAACATGTACAGATCTATACTGATGGATCGCAGACTGCCACTGGATCTGTTTCAGCTGGTCTATATGTGCCATCAACTCAACTAGCCACTGGGTGGCTGCTGAATCCAATGCATACTGTACTGGGTGCTGAACTTTTTTGCTATATACAAGGCTGTGCAGCTAGCCATCATTGACATATCTCTACAGAATAAGCCAGTTCTGATCTTATCTGATTCTCGAACAGCACTGCAGCTGATCTCTTCCACTTATGGTGGCTCTTCTTATAGATGGATTGTTTTTCAAATTCAGAAATTGATGCAAACTAAGGGGCTTGATAGAGTGGTGATGTGCTGGATCCGTGGTCACAATCAGATTCTTGGCAATGAAATTGCTGACAGAATTGCCAATCTTGCACACTCAAATGATCGCTCTGCAAGATCCACTTTGTGTTTTGAGGAGAAATCCAAATTTTTGGAACATTAAGCATCCTGGTGGTCACAAGAAGTGCAGGTCACAGGAAAAGGAACCTTCAGGCTGGGCCTGGGAGCAGCAGTGGATTATGTGGCTAATGGATCTTTACCACGCTCTATGGAATGTGCTGTGGCACGTCTGCGACTTGGTCATGCTGGCGTGAGGGCTCATTTGTCTTGTTTCAATTTGTCCAATTCCAGCATGTGTCCTACATGCAATGTTGAGGACACTATTAATCATTTCATCTTGCATTGTTCGCTCTACACAAACCAGAGGCGGGAGTTTCGCTTCAACTTGGAAAATCTTTCACTTCCTTGGAACCTTGTGTCAGCTCTTGGTGAAGGAGATATCCCTCAGAAAATACGCACAGCAGTAATTTGTCAGCTGGGACAATACCTGCTAAGCTGCAGCATGGTAAACACCCTATGAAGACGCCCAGTAACTAATCCTTTTATCGCTTCTTTCACACAACAACCACCAGCTGGTGAGAGTGAGCTAGAGATTAATCTGTGAACGACTGTTGGCAAGAGAAAGAAAGGCTCAGAGAAAAATCAAGTTGTGCTCAGACTGGGAGGTGTGATCTCATCATACCCGATGTCTTAAAATCAATTTTAAAAAATCCTCGATCTCGTTGTGGCAACAGCAATCGGAAGCCATTGCAGTTACCATTGTGAACCTGTGATACAAAACATTAATCCAATCAAAAGTAGAACATTCAAACATAACAAATTTGAAAATAATACATGCCATATCGGGCCCAGTGTAGTAAAATAACAAAAAGTGAACGTGAATTATGAAGTTATGAACGTATCTGAAAATGAGTCGGGCAAAAAATTTGTTTGCCACCATGCCGGGCTAAAGGATGATGTTTTCCACGCTTGCTCTGCACAGCGGCAGAGTAAGCGTTCTGCCATAAGGACCTCACAGTTCCGCCATAAGGACCTCTCATCATAGAATTCCGCTCAGAGTTCAGACTGCATTAACACGTGTTCATCTTACTTCTTACAGACTCCAGTAAAGACAAATATTGCTGCCATTTGACTGTTTTTGGGTAAGATTAGAGATTTGGGTTACTGGTAACACATGCATGGACTTTGTAAAATAAATTTGCGCCTTGTAAATAGCTCTTCATGGCCAAGATATGGATAAAGGAATTCACGGGTTGAAAAAATGAATCACAGCTCAAAGAAATGAAATCACAGATGGCAAACCCATAAAACCACAGCTCAAAAAATTCAGTCACGGCTCGCCAAGTAGATATATTCCATGCCTGGTTGTGGTCAATTCAGTCGTCACTAGTCAGACTGTCAGAGTGGTCACTGACTGACTGGTCAGACTGCATTATCACATGATCTGTTCCAGTTGCCACTTAAGTGAAGACAAATGTTAGTTTTGACTGTTTTTGGGTAAAATTAGAGATTAGGGATAACATGTGCATGTGACTTAGTAAAAAGTTCATGGCTGCAGCTCGTAAATGGCTTTTAATGGCAGATGGCTGGAGTATGGAATTCACGGCTCAAAAAAATTGAATAACCGCTCAAGGAAATGGAATCATGGCTGGCAAATCCATAAAACCATGGCTCAAAAAATTCAGTTGCGGCTTGCCAAGTACCTAGATATATTCCATGCCTGCAAGGCTGCAATCACTGTCAGAGACTGAGAGGATGACATCACAATTCCACAACCAATCATGTGCAGTCTAGAGAGGATGACATCACAATCCCACACCTAATCATGCTCTGAGAGGATGACATCACAATCCCACAACCAATCACACTCTGAAGTGGATCACATCACAACTAATCACAGTCTGGATGTGGCAATGCATCTGCCCAAAAATCACAAGCTTTATCATTATGCACTACCCTAGAATTCCAGCCTGCTGAGTAGGGAAATACTACCTAGTTCACTCGATACAATTTTAATTGGATAGTTGTTTCAATAAAAATTTTAGCTTCATATAAGAAACATTTGCAAAAAAAAAAAATGAGAGAACTTAATCAGCTTCATCAGCCACCATGACAACAACAAAAACCTAAAAATAAGTCTGAACTCTGAAGCAATCCATACATTACCTACATGGGCTTAAACAGAGGTGGGCAGTAGCGCGCTACATGTAGCAGTAGCGGCGCTACATTTAAGCAATTTTAGCAGTAGCAGTAGCGCCCGCTGCATATTTAAGTAGCAATACAAGGTTTTGCCACTACAGCGCTACCACTACATTTATAGATAAAGCCTTTTGATTATACTTAATAGTATTAAATATTATTTAAAAACCAGCATGATACATACATAATACTGTACAAAAAATTTTGGTGTAATGTTGTCAACCTCAGCCTGTTACTACTAGTGTCAACATGTTAGTTGTTACTTGTTAAGTTGTTACCAGTTACTACTTACAGGTATTTTTTCATGTTTCAGTTTGCTTACAGTTATTTTTACAAAGGTATTTTTATGTTTCACCTTCCCTACATGGGAAGGTGAAATTTTTGAAAGGTGAAAGGAAGGTGAAATTTTTTTATTTTTGAGATCTACCAATCTCAAAAATAATCCACATATACAGGGTGACCCAAAAAAATTTGCTAAAGGTAAAGGCTTATAACTCGAAAAGTATTGAACATAGAAACATTAAATAAAAAAAACACATGAAAGAGTATAACTTCAAGTTTTATTCAGATTACAATAAATGTTCAAAATGACCTTGCTGTTGAATACGCAGCTTAATACATTTTTCAAAATTTATGGTTACTGCAGACAAGGTATCCTGGTCAATAGGTGCAAGAGCTTCACGAATTGCTATCTTCAGATTGTCAATGCTGCTTGGTCTTGTAATGAATACTTTTTCTTTCATGTAACTCCATAGGAAGAAACCCAAAGGCGATTCATTAATTCTTTCTTCAATCACGGCAATGTTTTTTCTGATCTTCCAGTTCTTTGCCATCCAGAATGACCTTTATTTTGATTCAGGATCGCTACTTTATCTTTCCACTGATGTATCCACTTCTTGATTGTGTTGAGACTAACTTCTTGTCTGTATTTGGTGGATTAACCTCTCTTTATTTTGGTTGGTGAAGTTTTCAGGTAATATTGTTCGACAGTGAAATTTCATTGCTCAGAATTTAGCTGCATTGTAGGGGAATCTTGATCTTGAAAAAATGAGTTTTAAATATGAAATATATAGAGAACTTTGGTAACATGGATATCAAATAAAACTTCAAGTTATACTCTTTCATGTGGTTTTTATTTCATCTTTCTACATTTAATACTTTTTGAGTTATAAGCCTTTACTTTTAGCAACTTTTTTTTGGGTCACCCTGTATATACAAATAAAAGACTGATTTTTTATATGCATATTTGGATAATTTTTAAGATTGGTAGATTAAAGTAGACATCCATGTAGGGAAGGTAAAACATTAAAATAACTAACTTTTATTTACTGTATCTAACCCATACCAGTTCGGTTAGGTTAATTGCAATAAAGTTACATTGATATGTTTTGAAAATGTTTTATTATCATTAAATGTTTATGAGTAAATCCCAATAGCAGAACAATAAATATTTAGAGATTTCCAATAATTTTGGCCATTGTAGCGGCTAATGTAGCGGCACTACATTTTACTGTAGCAGTAGTGCTTGTTACAATCTAGTAGGTGTAGCGGTAGCAGTAACGCCTGTTACATTTAGAGCATGTAGCAGTAGCGGTAGAGGCGCTACATTTCAAAGTATTAGCGGCGCTACATTTCAGCTCTGGGCTTAACTCATTAACTGCCCAATGCCTATGCACTACCAACTGTAATGTTGCTGCAATATGTGCTGATAAGGCATATTGGGCCCAATGAATGAAGAATAGCTGATTATAAGAATTATGATCTACTTTGCTCTAATTCATATGTAACTCAGTCACTGTAGATTAGTTACCATTTCTAAATCACCTAACTGCTCTGTATTTTTTATAGAAATTCTTACACATGTCAAGCCCTTTGATCTAAACAAAATATATTTCAGCACCAAATTTCTATTAAAAAACATAAGTTCCCATGCTTCTAGCACCTCTGCTGAGTGCTCTGCATGCCCATTGTTTTTGAGAAAAAATCAAAATGCAAATAAATTTGAATGCCTATAAGAAGTTTGTTTTCAATTCTGTCAATATTGTTTCCATCATTAATACTGACATGAGTATGGTTTCAACTTGTGTCATAAATTGTAATATAGTAATAAAAGTGCAATAGAAGTATCACTTGAATTGATCCAAGCATGCACCCCTAGATTATTTTGATGCAGTGCCTTTTTCAAGTACCTTATTTACTTTTCCAGGACATAATAATAATATACGTTTAGGTAAAAAATGAATGCAATGAGCGGATGGCATAGTGATGTGGGTGATAGCAATACAAGAAGACAAGAAAAGCTGTACAGGCTCATGGAGAAACTGAAGAATATGGCAAGGGAAGTTCCTCCGTAAGTTTGTTCTGTATCTGGTTATATCTTCCTCTTAATCTATAGATGGATGAAATATGATGCTATTATTAAATTTGTGTTCATATGGTAAGGCCAAAATAGTTTCTTTGTGCTTTAAACCACAAATATTATTATTTTCAGCTCATTTATGCAATTTTGTTCCTAATTTTTATTTAGGAGCATTGATATGTCCATATTTGTCTTTTTTTACAATATTGATTATCATTTTTCTCCATCTTAATATATCCATTATAATTTAACTTGATATACATATTGCAGAAAGTATCAGCCTCGTCTCAGCTATGACTTGCTCTCTGCCTTGGCAAGCCTGCTACTTGATGACACGGTCCTGCAAATTGTTGCTGAATTGATTGACCTACAGCACATGACTGAGAGACATCTGCATCAGACGCGCTGCAGTCTACTAGCTCGACATCGAGGTGTAACAGCCATCTTGAATTTATATATATGTTTTTTATACTACTGCAAACCTATTACTATATAAGTGGAATATCTCAAATTTAAACACCCAAATATATTCCTGTTGCTTCATTGCTAAATGTTGTATTTATCAAGGTGTAACAGCTATCATGAATTTATACATGTTTTTTATACTACTGCAAATCTATAGTATAAGTAGACTTTCTCAAATTCAAACACCCAAATATATTCCTGTTGATTCATCGCTACATGTTGTATTTTTAATCAATGTTCTTGTATGTGCTGCTTAGCTGAGAAGGAGCGCATGAAGAGCCAGCACAAGAGTGAAGAGGACATGGCGCGGTGTAGGGCGCGACTGCACGCCTTACCGCAGATGCAGGCGCAGCACAGCGCCCTCGAGAATGACTTGGAGCGCCGGCATCAAATGGAGCTGCAGAAGTGCAACTTGGATGCGCTCAAAATCATTGATGAGAAGGTTAGCGGGTATATATAGACTAGGGTAGATATTATATGTGATTAAATTGTTAACACATATTAAAGAAGTGTCAGTTTAGTTCTGTATAGTTTGTCATGAAATTGTTGTAATGATAGCAATTGAAAGGAGGGAAGCGTAGACAAGTAAGTAGTACAGAAGGTATAGCTTGAAGAACTGTTTTTTTATAAGCAAGATCAGCTTTCATTACGAAAATATTATTGTCATAAAGTAAAATGTAAGGAATTTAATTGTGATGTTGGAATTGCTTATTATGTTGACAGATTAGAAAATTGCAGCATGAAATAGTACAAATTATCGTACGAAAAGTATTTTTTCAGATAGTAAATGCTACAGGAAACCATTATTATAGTAGAAGTGAGTGAAATGGCACAAACGTGATCTAATGATTTAGTCGAGCATTTTGATCCATCCTCCGTAATAAATGCACAAATTGTGCATTTATTTAGTAATTACTAAAGTTATTGCTAATCAAATTTAATTCTGTCAGGTGGTTGAGCAGCAAAGCACATTGGCGAAAGTGGGCGTTCCAGGATTTTTCGTGTCCACAAACCCAATGGACGTGCGGGTGCAGATGTACATCCTTGGCTTCATTATGAAAATTAGTCAACAAAATCCATCATATTCCCTCAGCTCCTCCTGATTTCGACCAAAGCCATTGCATACCATGCACAAATTTTCCCTTATAAGTGATATACTTGACTTAATGAAGACATTTCGCTCACTCCTGAATTGATCACATTTTGATTGCATAGAATACCTAAACTTGTGGCAAACACTTTGTTGATTTATTGCCGACATTTCACTCTCTTTCAAATTAATCACCGAGATCAGCTAGCCTGCACGAGTCTCACTTCAATGTTATTTGTTGTGGAGCACGTGCGCGCGCGTGTGTCGCGCCCTCTCAGCGCAGTGCGGTCCACTGTGCTGTGTTGAATACTGAAATGGCGTGCTTGCTTTCATCCTTCATGCATGCTTTTGAACCCTCAGTATAGAGCGTAATAATACCGTACCAGTTTGTGATCTTCCAGTGACTATTCTTCTGGCAGATTAAAATAAGGCGTGTAATAATAAACGCTCTGTTTCTCTACATCATTGTGATATATTTATCTCATAAGTTTAGTTCTAAGATATACGAGCAGAAGTATTGTGCTCTATTCTTTACGAACATACAAAAAATGATGTTACAAATGAACTAGTCGAAGTGCACGGTTTCATTTTCCTACGTACATCGAAATTTATTTTCTCTTTACACCTGAGATTGACCTAGTGGAGGAATCTTCAAGTTTCAGAATAATTCTATCCACGACTTTGTTAATTTGATGGCCAGCCACGAATATATTCCGAACCTGGCTTCCGATTTCAGCGTCGGAATGCATCAAAGCTCCTTCTACAGACTCCAGGAACCTGTTACCCAAAGAAATATGCGGTGAAATCTGGACTAAGACATTTTTTATTTGAGTTGTCTCTCGAATTATCTTGTCAGCTATACCTCACGATACCTTAAGGCTGGTAGTCAGAATGCAGCGAAGTTTTTGCAATCATCGTGTAAAATCCTTGATCTGCCCGAAGCTCGGCCAGTCGCTACCCTCGAGCTTGTACTCTTTGTAATATGATATCCTAGCCAGCCCCTTTCTAGCGGCAGCAGGCCGCTTTCAGGTGGCCGAGGAATGGCCAGCGGTCGGCTATAACTAATTAGACTAGGCCGACCACTGGCCATGTATCATTCCTCGCCCCTCATTGAATTTGCCTTCACCATGCCGCCGTCGTGAACTGACAGTTCAGTAATTTACGACGTCTCTTTCCTCTCACACCTTTCACAACGCCTCCATTTGAGCAGCTAGTATGCGGGATTTTCCCTCCGCGTATCAACAGGCTCGATCATAACTATTTTTTGAGAAATAATATTTACAACAAGGAGGCTGATCAAGGAATGCCGAGTATACCATTCAATGGAGAATAAAAATTACAACCCGTTTGCATCTCGAAAAAGTGTAAAAGACGCAAACTTGATGAACAATAATATTCAAAGTTTCCTGTAATTTCTTTTCATTATAACTTTTTTAATACAAAGTTTACATATTTTTTGTTCCTGGTCACCGTTTAGAAATAAATAGCTGGGTAAGCATGGAAAAATTCATATCGCCATCTCATTTACGAGGGGAGTAAAGTCCAGCCTAATTTATGAAGAAACTCATAGGGAAGAGCCGAGCCTGTCCGTAGCCTCGCGGTTCTCAATCAGAACCCTAAGACGTCAACGTGTCAAGAGCAGCTAGTAGCTCAACATGATCCCAACAAGAGGACGAAACTAAACAAAATATACTACAGGAAAATACCGGGCATCGTGGACTCGTTCGTAGCGCTGTTATGGTAGAGAAAATAAATTATTCTAGAACGAGTTCTAAAATTATCCTAATTGAGGAAAATATATTAAATGTTGATTTAGGATGAAATTGTAAGTGTCAAGTTGATTTAAAATTGAATAATTTAATTAGAACTATCGTAAATAAGTAATTGAATGTGAACGAAAAACGGTTCGGAAGATAATAGCTTTCGGTCTGCTCGTTAATAAAAATTCTTATGCTTGAAGTCAAAGCCGGTATGTGATGCTGGAAAAGAAACGAGCAAGCCCTGAGGTAGATTTATTCTATACTTAATACCATCTGGAGTCATGATCTGGAACATTTCTGCTGCATCTACAAAACATTTTCATATGCGCGATAAAAATAAATTTAAAGATGCAGTTCATGGACATTAACGCAACATTATTATGCAAAAATTGTACGAAATAATTGGATGCGCCGAGATTTTTTTTAAGTTCCCCAAGTCTGCTAACAGCCGTGCAATGGACAGTATATATTTTTGATAGTCACACAAGTGAATCGTGTATTTATATACGCGAAACGTGACCTAAGCAGCAGTTACTATAAATTATCGTGACGAATATTTCGTTACTTAAATACCCTAGGTTAAGGCACCTGAGATTTCTCAGCAGAACTGATGCCCAAAATTGTATTTCTTGAACTGAAAATTTGCACGAGCCATTTTATCACTTGGAAGTCAGCTACAATTCGGAAACGACTGACAAAGAAAACTGTAGTTGCTAGCATTCTACCGCCACACGTAGCAGCGTACCCAACACAACATAAATACTATAATGTAATTTGGCAAGCAAAACGACGCTTAAAGCTTCGATACGAGTTAAGTAGGTAGCAGTGTGACACGTCAACAAGTGACGTACAATTTAGTGAGGACAAGACATATAAATACTGCAATATTAACCATAACTTAATAACTTATACCGAGTATTTTCGTTTGAGTGACATGACCTGGACAAACAAACAACAAATTTATTTTTAGGCAGAAATCGTTTTTTCTTGTACTGGACCTTAGATCAGGACTTATAATTAAAATTACTTGCTAGTTACAAACATGAATAATAACGGAGCATTTGTCCGAGTATTTAGCTGAAAAAACAATATTCAAAAGTCATCAATGGTTTGGCACGCCTTTTGCAATGCAACACAAATGCTGCCGTTCCAAACTTAACTTCACAATACAGTGAAGAAGCTTACCATAGGTCACTTTAATGTTTAAAATTCAGTAGTGAATAAATATAATGAAAACTCCGAAAAGAAGATATTCAGATCCTTGTAAAAACTGGAAGCACATACGAGATTCTTGAAGTGTGGAATATAACACTTAGAAACTTAAATTAAGAGAATCACACGGTTTATAAAATTGTTTTGGCATTTCTTCCACCAGTTGGTAGGTAGGAGTTCACTTATTTAGTGAGTTAGCAACGCGATGGTCGCAACACAAAAACAATACGTAACAGCTGCCGAACACAATACAGAGCGGGTAAAGCCGCGATAACTTAGAAATAATAGCAAGAATCATAGATCGCGGCAAAACTAATAGCCGCGATCACCTAGAATATAGCAAGACTGGCAGCCGCTGAGCACAATAGTTAGTGGCTACAGCAGCTATCATGTAAAAAAATTGCAAGAATGACAGCTACATAACCCAATAGTTAGTGGCTACAGCAGCTATCATGTAAAAAAATTGCAAGATTGACAGCTACACAACACAATAGTTAGTGACTACAGCAGCTATCATGTAAAAAAATTGCAGGAATGACAGCTACATAACACAATAGTTAGTGGCTACAGCAACTATCATGTAAAAAAATTGCAATGACAGCTGCATAACAGTATAGGAAGCCACTACAGAAGGTAGGGGCTTCCTATATTTTTCCTATCCGGTAGAAAAAATAGGTTTTGAGACGTAGAAAAATACCTCGCGCAACTCGATGCATTTGTGACAAACTATTTCATGTTATCCATTAGAAATTGTGGATAGGTACATACTTAATTATTCTGCCTTTTGTCTGTAAATTTAGGTTTTAACTTCTGTGTGTTTTTTTCACTCCAAACTTTATTAATTTTCTGACTTTATTTGTGTTCTAGATTTATCGAATTGACGATGGAGCTGGTCTCCGAAACGTTTTCAATAGAGATATGCTGAATTTTTGTGGTGTTTTCTTCGCTTTTAATTTCTAAACTATTTCTCCTGATGGCTGAGAATCCAACAAATGAGGTAGGTTTGGCTTATACCTCCGTAGTGTTATTCTAGCATGACCTACGGTTATCGTCATAACATTTCTTACTTAAAGTAAATTATCATAAAAGTACGATTGAGACATTAAAGTGTTTAGAGATCCAGCATACGAGATATTCTTGGTTTACAAGGAAGCATTGAAGACACTAAGGTTGGCAGTAGCGCATGTCACGCCTGCTCTTCACCCCAGCAAAATAAATGTTCACCTAATGAACGGAACTTAGAAATTTAGGAGCACTTACAGAAGAAATTGATCCGAGTGAACTAGCAGATAAAAACTAACGCTGAAGAAATCCCAGATCTGTAGTAGTGAGCGAGCAAAAGTCAATCGTAATGATGTAAAATTTCGAGCATGTAAAGTCTATTTATAATTTAATATAACCTCACGCCATCATTATAGATGCACTATGAATCAGAGAAATCTTCCAAGTCAAGGACCGTCGAGACAGTCTCAGCGTCAAGACCCCTGCTGGTCGTCTTATCGGATATTCTCGTCACGCCACACGGCTTCATATTAAAGTTAGGCCTCTCAGCCGAACAGTGAGGGAAGAGATCAGTTAGTCCTGATGCCGAGTCTCGCCGCTTGCCAGCGTTGCGTCTTTCTTCCCTCGACTTCGCTAATAACAAATCTGTGCTGTTAACAAAACTGGTCTCAGCGACCGCGCCACGACGGCCTACAGCGCCGTGGGAGCGGCTTGCATTTCTGCGTTTCTTTCGCTTTTGTCTGCCCATGTCGCCGCCGTCTTTACCACCAACTGCACCAGCAGGGAGGCGTCTGGCGAGGCTAGGACCAGGCAAGGCACCATGCAAGTATCCACCGTATTTCAGGTCGTCTTTGACGTTGTTCTCGTGTCCATTGTACCCCACATAATTTTGGACATTTTTCCAGCCCGATGGAGAATCATCTTTACTATTAATATCTTCACTACTGGACGGTAGCGAGGCTTGTCTACTGAAGAGACGAGGAGGGGAGCGGTGGTAAGGCTTGAAGGTTGGAGTCACGCGGTGCGAGCTGAAATTCGGTGACACTTGCGTGGCCTTGTCAACGAGCGGCGCGTGACGCGGGGACGCGAGGCGAGGGAACCGCAAGTCCTGGTCCTCCAGGGACGTCTGCACGCCTATGGTCGCACGGCTGCACAGCGCTGCCTCCTTCACGTCCTGCACACAACAACTCCCTTCCTCTCACTTCATCCCTTCCTCTCACTTCATCCCTTCCTCTCACTTCATCCCTTCCTGCGACTTATTTCTCTCAACTCAGGAATTAGTAGGAGCACAGAAATTTTTTAAAGAAAATTGCAACCAGCATATTTAGAAGTTTAACTACCCAAATATCGCTTCTATGGTTATTAATTACTAATGTATATTCAGTACTTTAAGCGGAAACACATCTCTAAATTGCCTACTCACCGCAATTGCAGAGGAAGGATTATTACCAGCAGAGTTCAACACTACAGACAGCACGTTATATATGTGCTAGTATTTTAAAAAATGAATCAACAATCAATGCGTTCAGACGTTTTCCCCCCACATTCCGCTGCTCCGCAAGCCCACTAATCCATACAACCTTTAAAAACCTTAAAAAAACACTGAGCTCATCTGAGTAATATGTAATATAATGATATATAATAATATATATAATAATAGATAAGCTCTGCTGAATACAACTCAAATAAGTTCTAGTTAAGCAACTGGAAGTAACAACTGATATTTTCAGTTTAATGGTAGATAAGCTCTTCTGAATAAAACTCACATAAGTTCCAGTCAAGCAACTACAAATACCGTAATAACTAAAATTTTCAAGTTAATGGTAGACGTTTGCCTACGCTAGGGCGATGGTTGGACTCTAGTCCTAAAATCGTAAGTTCTGACCGCGTGAGCAGCGAGCGGGGCAGCAGCAGGAGGGCAGGGGCTGGATGCTGCTGAGGAGGAGAGCTGCAGGCGGCGCATCATGTTCGAGAAAAGTGTGGTGTCGTCAGCACCAAAACCCACGCCCGTCACCAGCTAAAGGGATACTACGTGTTACTTCAGACGCTTATTTCTATAACTTTAGTCAGTGCCAGAAAAGAAAAACGCCAAGGCAAAGAATGGAGCAAAAATATTTTCTGAGATATGTGGTCGAAAAGACACCACTCTTCGTTCCACTACACAACTCAAGCCACACATAAATGAAGTATGCACACCACAGAGCTGAAGCTGCTGTCCTCAGACGTGTAGGAGCCGCGCCGAGACTCGCGCGCCCCGCTGAGTCTGCGCCCCAGCCACCCGCGCCGCCCTGACTGCGAGACTCGAGACGTCCTGTAAAATATTAGTAATTAAAGATTATTTATCATCTAATCGGATTAATTTCTACGCCACCTCCCGTAATTCAGAAGTAGGTTTATTACAATGAAAGACTGCAACACACCAGTAAGTTGACCGTCTTGGTAGGGAGTTAGTTACATTAACCCTAAACTAACACGAACTTACCAAGACAATTGCCTCTGTTTGGTAATTATCATGACTAGTTCACTATCTCAATATAGTGAATCAGATTATTTAGTCGTTGCAGCTAGCTTGTTTTGTGAGAAGTAACTCGATTGACGGTAGAGAGCACGCATGATTAAACAAAACTTACAAGCAAATAGGTAATTGTACTCCATTAATATCCCAATTTTCCAACTGAAATGAGTAGTACGGGTTGCCAGAGAGAAAATGTCCAAGACTAATAAAGTATGCACGGGATAATTTCTACTCAATTCTATGAATTCCCAATCGTAGAATAGGAACCGGTATCCTTCGGTACTAGACTTAGAATTTTATATCGTCAACATATTGATATCACAAATCCAGCAGCACACACATGCTGCTGGACTGCTCGATATTTAAGCGACGTAAACGAAGATAACAAACGACGGTAATCACTGTCACCTGTGCCGTGCCCGGCCGCGACTTGTTGCAGTGTTATGGGTGAGTTCAGTTTGACGATCCCTAAATAATGCTTATAGGTACTTGTTTAAAAAGTCTTCAAGAACTTGTACGACTGAAACGTAAAATTACCACAACAGAGAAATCCTGTTCGTAAACCGGCTACTCATCACAAGAAAATTTACCTGGAGCTGAATGAGTGCACGGACGCTCTGTTGGGAGCCCCAACACTAAGTTAAAAAGTCTTCAAGAACTTGTACAACTGAAACGTAAAATTACCACAACAGAGAAATCCTATTCTTAATCTTGCTACACATCTCAATAAAATTGACCTGGAGCTGAAGGAGTGCACGGACGCTCTATTTGTAGCCCCCACACCCCCAGCAGGAGCAGCAGCAGCAGCGAAGCGCACGATGGTGTGGCGGGCGGCCTCGCGCTCCACGTCGGACACGTGGAAGGAGAGCTGCGAGTCTAGCGAGTGACGTCGCATGCGACCCTTGCGCTGCTGCCGGCTGCTGGCGTAGTACTGGAAGCCGGACTCAATGGAATACCTGCACGGCAACACAGTCGTCAGAGACCTGATACTNCTAGATGTGTATAAGAGACAGGGTAGAGCCAGTCATTGGCTGCAAGAAGGTTGTGAGCCGGAACAGCGTGAATAGGTTAGACCCTGTCTCTTATACACATCTAGATGTGTATAAGAGACAGATATTATATCGCTTGTGAAATTTATGAAATTTAAAATTCCTTTTCACTTTAAAAATTTACTGTATAATTTGACTTAGGAACCTCCTGCAAATCTGAATAAAGTGTACTCCTGTCTCTTATACACATCTAGATGTGTATAAGAGACAGGGGTGATCAATGTCAGGGTATCTTCTATCACCATCAAGGTTATCATACGTCACCCTCTTATAACATGTTCTGTACCCACATGGTAGAGTCACACTCAGTGACGTCATCCCTGTTAAGGCCTATATATAGCTCGATCTGTGCACCGCTCGTCAGTTGTAGCGGTACTGCCTAGCCGTCATCATGCTAGTCCGCTCCTCCGGCACATACTTGTGCTGTGCCTGTCAATCCCCGTCCTTCTGTACTCACCAAGCCAGTTCATTATTATAATAGAACTACGTAGTGTTACCGTGCGTTTCACTTGTCCTGCCTTAGTCCTACTTGAAACTACAAGTATACTGACGCTCAGTTACAAATCTATCAGGTGGTCGTAGAAACAGACCTCTGACAGTAGCTGACGTTATAAACTACAGAAGTTGTAATGTGCTACGTTACAACTGCCGCACCTGGCGATGAAGAGCCGCCACACCTGCGCCGTGTTGCTCGTCCAGCAGAAAGACGACACCACGAGGGGCGTGCAGGTCCACGCCAGCACCTGCCCACACCCAACATTACAATGAAGACAAAAGACAATGAACAAAAAAGTCAGGCATGCCGTCAGTAGCAGCAGATACTTCCTCATAATATAAACTCATAACACTTCCTCATAATTCTAAATTTCTAATACTTCCTCATATTATAAACTCATAATATAAGCTCATAAGACTTTCCAATAATACAAATTCATATTACTTCCTCATAACAGTTCAAAATATAAACTCGTAATACTTCCTAATATTAAACTTCGGCATTAAGCTTGGTTCACACCAGACTGTCGGGCCAGTCACGGTCCGTTCCCAGCCAGGGGCCTAGTCCGGTCACGGGCCGGCCTCACTTCAGTTAATTTCGCATAATGTTGGATTAAAAAGCGACTGGCACGTGTCCATCAGGATGGAATGAATCAATTCTCAATTTCGGCAATTCATGCAACCATCTTCATACAATAAAACATTTATATATTTTCTTAATATCGCCTGATTTTGCAACGATAATGTGATTCTTTTAGCATCATAAATAAGACATTTTGCTGGAAAATTCTAGTCATATAAAATTGATCGTGAAAAAAAAACAGAATTGTTCAGCATGATTATGCCATGCAATGAACCAAATAGCAAAGAAGATGAACACTGAAAGGAAAAACTTAAGCTCATTCGTAAATGAATTTCATAGGTTGAATTCAATTTCCAGGTCTCCACTATAAACGTTATGTACCGGAGTGACTACGACGTAAGGGACAACAGTGCTGTGACCGCGCCGCATAGTTGTAGTCAAGGGGCACAGCTCGTCTCGCTGTCTCTTATACGTGTCGACCTGCTACTGGAAATACACATCCCTGTTTGTTTTCGTAACCTCGCTGAACCATAAACATTGTACAGTATATGCTATAAATAATGTTTTTTTTTTGTTGTGGGAGAGCGTGAGACCTGCATCTTGAAGACGCTCAGGCTGGGGCTGGACGAGACGGAACACTCGCTCCGCTCCCCCAGGAACGTCGACGATAAGCCAGCCTCACATCTGACAACAAATAACAAATATATTTCTTAGTAACGTTGTCGATAAGCCAGCCTCACATCTGACAACAAATAACAAATATATTTCTTAGTAACGTTGTCGATAAGCCCACCTCACATCTGAAAACAAATATATGTTTTAGGTTTTAATGTCTAACTTTGGAGTTTGACTTAGGTATAACGATTGTTTTCATTCGTTCTTGATTTTCGAGCTGACGATTGAGCTGGACTCCGAAATGTTTTCAATACAGATATGGTCAATTTACTTGGCGTAGTCTTTGCTTTTATATTCCTCGTTAACTTGCGTTTTGTGCAGACTAAGGATATAAGTAAATATCTTTATATTTACATATGAGGTGGGTGTAGGGCAAAAATATATTTACATTATTTTTACTTTATAATACACATTATATTTGTATTATAATACAGGAGGTGGGTGTACGGGTAAAAAATGCTACATTTCAATGGGCATAAATATTATGAGAATGAGCGGGCTTGACATTATCTAGCTTCAAAAACAATACATGGAATAATGCTACTCTCATATGCATGCGGGAAAGCTAATTGAATCATTCAGCTAATTCACCACGAATGCTCCATACAATGAAAATTGTTCTGGCTTCTTTAAGACAGTTATATACCCTTTTGCGGAGACGACTCATTCAAGACGTCAAAATATAACTATTCTAAACTTTTTATTGTGTGTTAATCACCATGAGAAAATCTGCAAAGTAGATCATATATTTCTATGGCTGCCCCCACAGGTTAGCCCGCAACAATATACTAATTTTTTTATTAATTAGGACAATTATTTCCCTCATGTATGACCGAATAGCATACGAGTTGCAAATTAAACTTGAGATATTGGTACGTACAGGATGTACTGCCGCAGAGCTTGCTGCCACCTGCCAGAGTGCAGGTAGTAGTGCCAGTGGCAGTAGAGAGTGAGTAAGATATTGGTACGTACAGAATGTACTGCCGCAGAGCTTGCTGCCACCTGCCAGAGTGCAGGTAGTAGTGCCAGTGGCAGTAGAGAGTGAGGGCCCCGCAAGCTGCCAGAGTCACGAGCAGCACTGCCAGACGCACGATGCTCTCCACGACTTTAGTGTTGTCGCTTGACGTCAGGATGTTGTTGCATTCCAGCTTCAGCTGACACAATCTTAGCATCCCTAAAAAAGCAATCGTAGTAAAATTTCACAGTTGCGGGAAAAAAATCTTAGCATCCCTACAAAAACAATGGTTGTAAAATTTCATAGTTGCGGGGAAATTTTATATAAATGTGAAGGAGGTAAGAATAAATTGAACCAGAATGTAGCAAATAAACCCAACCGCAGGTGACGAGTGGACTTATGCTACGCATTAGGTTTAGTCAATTGACTCATTCGCCATCATGTAAGGGAACGCGGTTTACTCTGGGCCCCAGCAAAAAAAAAGTACATGATATTAAGATTAATTTACTTGCGAGAAAAAAAAAACAAGGGTTGCTTGAGTCTTCAGATCCCAAAGTTCACGCTTATAAATGACTTTCTTGCACTATGCATCTCATGGATGAAATTCTCGTAACGCTGCCTTACACTAAAAAAATGGCGCGTGCAATTGTGTTTTAGCTTCATTAAAAATCATCTCTGTTGGACTTGTGTACGAAAAAATAGGTCAGTAATTGGACATACAGCCTTTACGAGGACAAGAGACTCAAATAAAACTTTCACTGCTAAACGTGATTTTAAAATAAGTAAAAATTGTCCATTACTTCATATTTTAACGCAATTATCTCTAAGTTCATCGCCGTAAGGTGGTAAAATTAAAGACAATTAAGAGATTTAGCACATTTTGCATAGTGCAAGAAAGTCATTTATAAACGTGAACTTTGGGATCCAAGTACTCGAGCAATCCTTGTTATTTCTAACTTCATCATCGTAAGAAGACAATTAACAATTTAATTAACAAGAAGACAATGACGAGAGTTAGCACCATTAGCGATGAAGCGATTTTTAACGCAAGTATTTAGCGATTTAGCGATTTTTAATGCAATTTCTTCTAAGATCTATAGATCGCCGTAAAGAGGTAAAAGTAAAGGCAAATAACAGAGTTAGGACCTTTAGTGATGAAGAAGCAGGTGGTGAGCAGCACGAGCGTCAGAGGCACCAGCAGCAGCGGCAGCCGCACGCCCAGACTCGGCGACAGGAAGCAAACGCCGTGCAGGTTGTCCGCTGATACCTGCACCGTGTACAATAATCTACACTACAATGTTAACAACGAACACAGTCGAGCCGTTTACTACTCGGTCGAATGTTTCAAATTAATAGGAAACACATTCATAATAAATGAAACGACACTTACTAAGTATACAAAAGGAATATCTGAAAGGGAAACAAGCATGTGTGTAATGGATAATGTGATTATAACTGTGACAGACACTAATTACAGGCTTGTAGGACGCCTGCTTTAAAGGAATCTAGCTTAACAAAATCTAGACAAAAGATTGGCAAGATGCTAGTTTAATGGAAGCCAAATATTTAAAGGAACTTGAAGGAGAAATATCGTCATCACAAAAATATCATTGGATAAAATACTGAGAGTTAATAGAAATTAAACGAAACAAAACCACTTTCCCCATCTTCGTTCAAGTTTTGCCGCTATTTCTAGTCAGTATCAACAAAACATTTTTCTAAATTAGAACCTCGACAATTGTGAGCTCCAAAGTCAGCTCACCATATCACAAACTTGTGATGATCATCTGTGTCGAGCTAACATCTGTAGACTGACTTAGAAATAAATAAAGACCTGAGGAATAAAGGAATAAAGTGAAGAATATACCTGCGAGCGTGGTGATGGTGAGCACGAGTGGCAGGAGGCACATACCTGCCCCATGGCGAGCGTGGTGATGGTGAGCACGAGTGGCAGGCACATACCTGCCCCATGGCGAGCGTGGTGATGGTGAGCACGAGTGGCAGGAGGCACATACCTGCCACATGGCGAGCGTGGTGATGGTGAGCACGAGTGGCAAGCACATACCTGCCCCATGGCGAGCGTGGTGATGGTGAGCACGAGTGGCAAGGACCACGCCACAAGATGGTAGTACGCGGCGCCCTTCTCACCGCCACCTCCCACGCGCTGCTCGCCACAAACTAGAAACAAATAATTCGTGTTTTATAATTTCCCAGAAATTTTTTTGGGCAATTATAGAGCTTTAAAGCTCTATAATTGCCTATAATCATTTACAGCCTTACAAGCCCACAGTACGGGGCAGAGATATGACCTTTCTTATAAGTTCATCAACACATTTGAAGAATGTGATGCAAAACATCGAAGTATTAATTAGTGAGGTGGTCTACCTAAAATATTAGATGCTATCTGTTCTATGGTCCGCTTGATTAACCTAATATGTTCATTTGATAACTATAATTCAATCTATTTATTTATTACATTGCGCAATTATATAGGTAATCAATTGCGTAGATCATTCTGATGTTATTTCTTCTGCAAACTTGTTAAGATCCTAAATATACAGTACAAAAAAAAAAAGTTGCCGTGATCTCCCCATTTTTAAACAACTGGTAACTTTACAAGAACACTATATTATTGCAAGCGGATAATAATAATCTTTGAATACACTAACGGAATCAAAAGGCTGTTAAAGTTTGCTTTAATTATTGACGTTAAAAGCAAAATAGAGCATTTGGACGTCACATTTCCCCATTATTACACTGCACTAATTTATGTTATAATTTTACTGAGTGAAGGCAGTTTTACCTAGGCAGTTCTACAAGAGTACAACGAGTATATAACTACATGTCCAACTACTGAATGTAGGAAGTTGATCTACATGTACAACGTACCGTATGTAGGAAGTTGATCTACATGTACAACGTACTGTATGTAGGAAGTTGATCTACATGTACAACGTACTAAATGTAGGCAGTCCTACAAGAGTACAACGAGTACGTATGTAATATACAAGTACATATACACCGCGCTTGCATTAACAAGTCGTATCAGCGGTGCTCACCGAGCGCGGTGAAGAAGCAGTGCCACGAGTACGCCAGGATGAGCAGCCACACGGCCGCCGCCACGCCGAAGTAGTAGAGGCACACGAACACGACCACGCACGACATGTTGCTCTCCGTGCTGCAGGAGCAACACTACAGCATTAGTAGAGGCACACGAACACGACCACGCACGACATGTTGCTCTCCGTGCTGCAGGGACAACACTACAGCATTAGTAGAGGCACACGAACACGCACGGCTACGAACATGATTAGCACGCACAAGCTCACGCACATATCGACAAGACATCCTGTAGAATGTAGATCACAACAGCTAATGATCGTTGTAGATCGCAGCGAGCTACGTGCACTTGGAGTGTATAGAAGATCTAAGTAATGAACTTTATTCTGAACTATTTACGAAAGCACAACACATTACACCTAAGAGATCAGCTTAAAGACGAGATAAAAATTATTTATGGGGATATTCGTGTGGCGTTACAATTTATTAAAGAAACTTTAAGCCCTAGCAAGTCAATGGCTCTATACCACAGAAGTAAAGTAACTTGAAAAATGTAGATCCGCATACATTTATTTAACTGAACAATTCCAACAACACATACAGCATAGATGCAGTGAATATTCAAGTTCATCATTATGGGAATAATTCAGGTAATAAATAGGAATAATTCAGGAATAATTAGGAATAATTCAAGTAATAAATATGACTAATACATGTATTAATTATTGAATGGCGCACCTGGGCTCATGGGTGCGCAGTGTGCCGTCGTAATAAATAGGTATTAAATAGGTAATAAATAGGCAATAAATAGGTAATAAATAGGTATTAAATAGGTAATAATAGGTAATAAATAGGTAATAAAAAGGTAATAAATAGGTAATAAATAGTTAATAAATAGGTATTAAATAGGTAATAAATAGGCAATAAATAGGACTAATACATGTAATGACTATTGCATGGGGCACCTGGGCTCATGGGTGCGCAGTGTACCGTCGTAATAAATAGAAAATAAATAGGAACAATTCATGTAATAAATAGGTAATAAATAGGAACAATTCAGGTAATAAATAGGTAATAAATAGGAACAATTCAGGTAATAAATAGGTAATAAATATGACTAATACATATATAATTATTGCATGGCTCACCTGGGCTCATGGGTGCGCAGGGTGCCGTCTGCGTGGCACGTGACACGCTCACGCACGCCGCTGTGGTACTGCACCAGCAGCGCCACACCCGCCACCAGACAACAGCCACACACGTACAGCAGCAGCGCTGACGGGTAGTGCCGGCACCCGCCACACCGCCACTCCACCAGGTACGTCAGCTGCCGGGGGGAGGGGGGTGGTGATGATTGGGGGAGGGTGAGGGTGATGGGGGGATAGATGTGTATAAGAGACAGAGCCAATGCTTAACTGCAGGCGAGTGGCCAATGCATAACTGCAGGCGAGTAGCCATTGCATAACTGCAGGCGAGTAGCCAATGCATAACTGCAGGCGAGTGGCCAATGCATAACTGCAGGCGAGTAGCCAATGCATAACTGCAGGCGAGTAGCCAATGCATAACTGCAGGCGAGTAGCCAATGCATAACTGCAGGCGAGTGGCCAATGCATAACTGCAGGCGAGT